TTGCAGCATGTACATCTTCACATTTAATTATCAAATAACGAAATGGAAAAATTGTGCACCACATTGAAAAATGAGTATGAAGTCATGGAACTTTAAATTTTAACATGCATTACTTATTATTTAAACATTTTTCTCATATTTTATTTTTCTTCAGAATGTATATTTAAGACCTCTTTAGATTTAAGATTTGGTTTTACAAAATGTCATGCTCTATAGATGACATGTATACTATTTCAAAATATCTTTTCTCTAGATTCTCCTGCACAGTCAGTGTCCTCCGGAGTTCGTGCACCTTCTCCTGCCCCATCATCAGTACCTTTAGGGTCAGAAAAGCCCAGCAACGTCTCTCAGGACAGAAAAGTTCCAGTCCCTATTGGGACTGAACGTTCTGCACGTATCAGGCAAACTGGAACTTCAGCTCCATCTGTTATTGGGAGTAATTTGTCCACATCAGTAGGGCATAGTGGCATCTGGTCTTTTGAAGGGATTGGTGGCAATCAAGGTATGATATGCTTTTCTGCTTACAGGAAATTAAGTAATCATTTTTATTTAAGAGTTCAGAACATTTACTGTTCCCATATTACCTCCCATCAAATTTATCATTGCTTTTTGAAAATAGTCTAATGCAAGCATGTCAAACTCAAAGGCTAACACGGGCCAAATAAACAAGGTTTAAGTTTATGTGGCCGCAAAAAAACAAAAAGCTTCAATTTTCATAGACACATAGGTTTATTTCGATAGAGACATGCTGAATACAAAGGGCTGAAATAAAAGTAATTGTTAACATAAAATAATAGAACATTTTAATAAAAATTAATATTTTTCCTTGAACATTAACTTACCAGACACTAGATAACTGCACAAATTAATAAGTATAATGCAAATTAACCTATTTTTCTTGTTCTCTGAAAGCAAAATATTTCCTGTTGTGCACACTAAACAAGTCATAATGACATGGCAAATCGGCTGCTAAAATATTCGCTGCTAGTATTAATGGAAAGTAATGGTGCGCCTGGACGTAAGGCGTGTAAGGGAAATGAATGCAACACAATTACAGTAATCAGTCATTAGCAAACATTGTAGTTTGTTATTAATAATTATGTATAACAGGATATTGTAAAACGTTTCTTATATGCCATTATATTGGCTGGGCTGCAAAAATACTCATTGTGGGCCGCATGTTTGACATGCTTGATCTAATGTAAGCCTATTCTTTTCTTCATTTCATATTAAAGAGATGTTAATGTTTCCTTTGAGGTTCTTTAGCCTTCACCCTATGTTGGCTTTTTTTACTTTTGTTTTGTAACACAAAGTGTTTAAGTTATTTTGTTAGAGTATTATATCACTACCTACAAACATAGAAATACTGCAGTAAATATATAAAAAAGGTCATTATTCTGAAGGAATTCATAATTTAATGTAGAAAATACTAGAAATATATAAAACATTTTATTTTGCTTTCTTCTGATTTTAAATATCACCATTTATTTTTTCCTGCCTTTTTGTTTTTCCCTCAGACAAAGTTGACTGGTGTAACCCTGGGATGGGAAATCCTATGATTCATAGGCCTATGTCTGATCCAGGAGTGTTTTCACAGCATCAAGCAATGGAGCGAGAGAGTACAGGAATTGTAACTCCTTCTGGTACATTCCATCAGCATGTTCCTGCAGGATACATGGACTTTCCTAAAGTTGGGGTAATGGTGATTTAAATAAACATTTTCATTATTTCCAGATGTTTTTCTTCTTAGTCTTATTTCAATTTCAAGGGAATAAGCATTTGTGGAATGATTTTGGGGCTTCGGCCTACAATTATAGGTCAAAATCTGGCTAAAACATAAATATTTATAAATCTTAATTTTTTTTTCAGTTCAGAGAAATGTTTTTTGACAAAATATTTTGGATATAGTAGGCTTATGTATATCTAATGCTACAAGAAATCATTATAATGGAAAGTAATTTTTAGATTACCTAGATAACCTACACTTTTCCAAAATGAGGTGAAGTTTCAAATATTAATTTTTTAAAATATATTTTTATTTCAGGAAGGAAGGAAGAGGGAAAGAGAGAGAGAGAAACATCAATGATGGGAGAGAATCATTGATAGGCTGTGTCCTGCTCGTCCCCTACTGGGAATCGAGCAACCCTGATATGTGCCCTTGACCAGAATCGAACCTGGGACCCTTCAGACCACAGGCCTATGCTCTATCCACTGAGCCAAGCCAGCCAGGGCTCAAATATTAATTTTAGGGCTATTGGTTATATTGGGAAAAGTGAGCAGTGACTTGAATGTGCATAATATTTATTTCCCTCCTTTTTTAAGGGTATGCCTTTTTCTGTGTATGGGAATGCAATGATTCCTTCAGTAGCACCTATTCCTGATGGTGCTGCAGGACCCATATTTAATGGCCCTCATGCTGCAGACCCCTCTTGGAACTCCCTAATAAAGATGGTTTCAAGCTCCACAGAAAATAATGGCCCTCAAACGGTAAGGCTGATCATTAAGTGAACATTTATGTATTAGTGTATATGAGATGCTGGGACAAATAGGATACAGGTAAATCACGGTAGTGAGAGATTATGGTGAATATGGGCAGTTAAGGAAATTTAATATAGCAGAGGGATGTAGAAAATGGTACATAATTTGTGCTGAAATTATGAACGGCATAAAGTATTTCGTTTGGCAGTAGATGGTAATTAAAAGATTTTAAGTTGCCAAGTTTTATAATTTTATAGATCAAAATTTACTAGTTATGAAAAGGGCCATATAGAGGTTATTGAGAGAATCATAAATGTCAAAACTGTATAATTACAAATTCATAGATACATTGTATATTCTAGTGTTTTTTGGTGTATGTTTAATATATTTGACTCATTTTCCTTCTACAGTCATAAATCTATGTACCCAGGTAATGGTTTTTAAAAAATGATGTTGGATCCTATTTGAGGAATAAGAGGAGAGGCAAGGAAATAATTGGTAAAAGTGGCTTATCATTGCTTTTCTTCATTGTTTTCAAGTATGTTGCAAATTAAATGAGATTTAGCTATTTTAGTCCATAGCTAGAGTTTTATTTTAGTCAACTATATGTTAAATACACATTTAATAAAATGCACCTTCTTTCTTCATAGGTGTGGACTGGACCCTGGGCACCTCACATGAACAGTGTGCATATGAACCAGCTTGGCTGATGAAGATCAGCTTGTTAGCCTGCAGATTCCTTTTCATACAGAGGAAATCACAAGTGGCCGGAAAACTATTTTTATGCTCCCAAATCATTCTACTGATGTGCTTGACTGAAGTGTGTAGGCTTTTTGCAGAAGAACTTACTAACTGACCTATTTTCTGTGAACATTTGTGACTGCCCATTCCCCATCATCATCTGTTTTACCTTAGTTAGCATTTTTCTTACCATTTTTCTTTTTTGCTCTCCCTCTTCCCCTTTGGACATAACTTTCTGTTGAAGCTGTTCTTTGGCTGGTTGGTATTAGTACTGTAAACTGCTTCTGAGCAAACACGGAAATTTAGCAAAATTATGTAAACTTGATCCTGAAGTTTTAGAATGGCAAATAAATGTACAATTGTTTACATAACAGAGAAGGCTAAGCAGAAAGTAAATTTCAATATGTCAGTATAGAGGCTCTACTTTATGTAGACTTAAATTAATGTGAGATATGTACCTTCATATTCAGAAATCTGGATGTTTCCTTCATACATTAAACTATTAATAAGCATAACTTTTCTGCTTGTGTAATTTAAGTATAAAGTAAAACAACGGGCATTATCAATGGATGTTTCCCAACATTGGCTTTTTAAATATCCATATTGCTCTTTTGAATTTGTTTGCAGCAAAGCACGTATAGAAGAAATTTATCACTTTTCTCTGTCTTTTTATTGCCTTGCCACACTTAACTAATGCACACTTCACTCTTTCTTCTCTTCACCTTTATCACTAATACCAGTAAAATTCTCTTACTGCTCATGACATAATTTGTAAACATTTTTAATGTAATGGCTGCTACAGAGACATGGAGCACCTTCATCATCACCTGTGGTTCCTGCTAACCATAAAATGTTTAGCCTTTCTGAGAATTTAAAAGCCACCACTGGTTCCCAGTCAGCATATACAAGCTCTTAATGTACTGTTTATTATTAAACAATTCAGTGTACTATTTTATATTGGGTAATACTGATTCTTAACACTGGCTTTCCTGGCCATCCAGAGTCACATAAAATTCAAATATTCAGTAATATAGGGGAAAGTATTTTCCCCCCAATTTTAAAGGCTTCTTGTTCTCTACACTTGTGTATTATCAGTGAAAAGGATCAACAGCTAACTTGAGGCAAGTAATTAAAGAAATTCTGCACTTGTCATGAAGACAATTTATGGTAGACGTGAATACACAGATTATAAAATAAAGTCTTCTTTTAACCTGTTTATATAGGATACAGGGCCACACTAAACTATTCAGTGGAATTTATTCCATTCACTTGAAACAATAAAGAGTAACGTATACAAGAAGAATGTGTTCTACCCTGTCTCATATGGAAAAATAAATTTGTATGGTTGAAATGTAAAAGAAGGTAATCATAAAAGTGAAGTATGTATCAATCTGTGTTTTTTTTTAATTAGACAAATTCCACAGTGGTGAAACAAGCTAACTAAAATTCAGATAAATCACCAGCATTGACAGTATTAATAATGATTCCTTGGCTCTTCAAATAAATGAAGAACATTTTTTTTTAACCTCTGGCATGAATAAAGAATAAAAAGGAGATTTCTCAAACATATCCTTGAGGTGTGTAAACAAACATATATTTATTTTGTAATTTAGGGGGTGGTCTTAAAATAGCTAAATTTGTTTTTATATCTGACTGATTGATAACCAAATTTATTTTATTTTTTTATTTTTTAAATATATTTTATTGATTTTTTACAGAGAGGAAGGGAGAGTGATAGAGAGTTAGAAACATCGATGAGAGAGAAACATCGATCAGCTGCCTCCTGCACATCCCCCACTGGGGAAGTGCCTGCAACCCAGGTACATGCCCTTGACCGGAATCGAACCTGGGACCTTTCAGTCCGCAGGCCGACGCTCTATCCGCTGAGCCAAACCGGCTTTGGCGATAACCAAATTTAAAGGAAAGGCTAAATACGACCCTACAAATTAATACAGCTATGAAATAAAATTGTAGCACTTTACTAAGAAAGGGATATAATGCTGTTTAATAGAATGTTTTATATATGACTTTTGGCCCTATCCTATAATTTTTGGTTAATTTCTTTCCTGTATTAGGGTTATTTTCCAATTAAAATTATCCTGCTAGATAACAGATACCACCCCATATTTATTACAACACATGAGTTCTATTGATTCACAAAACTGAATTTCTTAAAATTCAGTATCTTACTGAAAAAAGAAGAGAAAAAGCCCTATATTAAGTTTCAAGCTCTGATATGGGGATATAGATTGGGATGTTCCATATTTAATTTTGGAGATCGAGCTTATTAATTACAATAACATGCTTTTAGAAACCTATATTAGGAACATTTTTCAAATACATTTTTTATATTTCAGATGTAATGCAGTGCATTTTTATCTGAACATTACAAAGCATTATCTTTTGGGACCATCCAGGACTCCCTCCTCCCCCCCTTTTGAAAGTATGTGGTATTTGTAATTGCAGATGACCCAATGTATTTCTTTTCTCTCATTCTTTTAAGAAGTGACTTAAGTCCTGACTGGCATGGCTCAGTGATTAGAATGTGAGCCCCTCGCACCAAAGAGAGAAGTGTCTCAGATCAAGGGCATGTTCCTGGGATGTAGGTTCTTTCACCTGCCCCAGTTGGGGCGCCTGTGGCAGGCAACCAATCAATGTGTGTCTCTCACAAAGTTACTTAATTCTTGGAAATAACACTTAGGTTAGTTTAGACCTTATATCCCAAAATAATTAATATTGCAGTTGTTTTGTAATCTGTTTATAGATTTACTTTAGGAATTATTTTGTTTACCTGTGCCAACAGAATACCCACTTCATGCCTTTCAAACATATTTCAACTTATACCAACATATTCACAAAAATTCATTTTGGTATCTATTTGAAAGATTATTTTCCCTTTCTGTTTCTCATTACTGTAAAGTTAAATCCTTTTGTTGCTAATTGAAAATGACTTATAGTCATCCACTTAGGAGGTAAAAAGGGGAACTGGAGATAGTTTACTTAATGAGCCTGTCTTGTTCTTTATGAAAATATCATTCTAACTTTTTTTTACTCAAATGACTAAATATACATTTCATAAATTTATTATGCACCCTACATTATTTACTTTATTAAAACAATATAAAGTGTTAGGCTAAATGGCAACTCAAGGTCACTAAACCTCTTAAGATCCTCTGATTTTTTTCAATCTATTTTCATTTTGTTATTTTTCAGAAACATTCCCACAGATCTGGCATTACAGAACAGAACATTTCAAGCATGCTGAAACTTCAAATAGCAAATTTTAAAAATTATTTTGAAATGATTAAAATACCAAAGGAAAACTAATTCATTGGTGTTTTTTTAATTTTTAAAATTGATTTTAGAGAGGAAGGGAGAGGAATAGAGAGAAACATTGATGAGAGAAAAACATCCATAAGCTGCCTCTTGCAGGCCTCCTATTGGGGATCAAACGCTTCCCAACAATCTGGGTATGCCTGTCAGGGAATTCTAACAGTGAGCTTCTGTTTCATGGGTTGACACTCAACCACTGATCTACACCTGGTCAGGCTAATTCATTGTTTTAAGTCACTATATGTAGTCAGTATTCTATTAACCAGGGTAAGTGAACCTGTCCAGATTTTTCTTTAATATTAATGTTTGGTATACTTATGTTACACTCTATAAATCCTGGATTCTCCTGAGTCTCTTTGGAAATATACATCCCATTGATAAATGCTTAAGTCACAATACTCAAGAGCTAGTGTTATTGTGAATTAACTGGTGTTAATTCCAGGTGACTGGAATTTAGCATGACAGCATCATTAAATACTTTAATATAACCTATGTTACCTATTTTACACACCTTGATGGATGGCAAATATACCATCACTTGTATGTGGGTAAGTAAGTGAATACAGAGAAAACAGCCACTGTGGCTTTGACAAGAGCAAGAATGACTTCATAATGTGACAGTTGGAATACAGGTTGTGTTCCTAATAGAGATGTTTTTTAAGAGGTTTCGTACTACTGCTTTTAAATGAATCCATACTTCTGAAAGGTAAAAACCAATTTTGCATGCTTAAATGCTTACAAAGTAAACATGAGCAAGATTATACAAGAGGATTTTTTTTCAATAAAGAGAAAGAAGGTAACTACATTAGGTAATTTTGGTTTTGCAAAGTAAGACCTTAAAGTAGTAAAGAAAAACCTAAATCTGATCCCAGAGATCACTTTAACAATTGCTCATGAAAATAATTTTTTAAATTTCTTTTGTCAAACATTTTAGAAAGCATATTAGGCCTATATTTATATTTTGATCTCCATTCCTTTGTTCAGCACTGTGATAATTTCAGAAGCTGTAGAAAAATACATAATTTAAGGAGCTTAAAGTTTTAAAAATGAGTCATGTGACAATAGTAATAATGATGGGAATAGACTATAAATATAGAACTTAAAAAATGTTTTACTATGTTGCACAAGTTCATTTGCAAAGTGTTAGGGTTAACATGGTTTTGGTTGGTTTGCTCAATATTTGTATGCTCATTTTATACTGTATTCTGCAACTCAAAAGATACAGGGCATCACACTGCTGGATGACTAGTACATACATACACATTAATGCTAATACTTTACTTTTGTATTGGGCTTTATAATAGACATTTCCCCCCAACTTTATCTATGAAGTAGGTAGCAAGTTCTAATCTTCCCCATTATGAGTTAAGAAATGTATGTTTACACATATGAAATAAATACTTATAAATTTTATTTGGATCACAATATTCAAATGGAACACTTTAAGATGAGAATATGTGACCCCAATGAGTAGCAGCAAAGGTGGGCCTACACTGTTTGAAGAGATCCTAGTCCCTGACTAATAGAAGCACTAATCTCTTAGCTTGTTAAATATAAAAATGACAACAGCCAACACAGCTGTCCAGTGTGAGTGAATAAAAATTACATTTTTTTGTCAAATCAAAAAATACATTTTTGGTGTGCTGCAGAACTTTAGTTACTAGTTTATATATACCATATATTGGGATATGTATATTTAAACATTTAAAAATTCATACATAAATTTATCAGTTTGAAGGAATATAAGATCCAGAGAAGAGTACCTGGTACTGTAGTGGGCAGTTAGACATGAGCAGAGTACAGGTCCCTAGGGTGGAAAGCCCTGGGTGCCTAGCAAAGGACAATTGTAGGGTGGGACCTTGTCCTCAGGGTGGCCTTTCCTCCTCTAGTGATGACCGGAAAGATGAGCCGAGGTGTTTTCCTGGGGTCGTGTCTCAGGACGTCGAAGAATGAGCCATGCAGACCAGAAGATTTAAGCAAAAGTGGAAAATTTATGACAAGCACATTCAGACTTCCCACAAGGGGAGGGGGACCCAAGAATGGGCTGCCGGTTAAAGCCTTATGGTCCAGAGGTACATTTGCTACAAGCCTGCTCTATGCCTACCTGTGTCGTCGCCTGATAGATTCCCTCAATTGTTTTTGCCCAGCAATGGGCCTAAACTCTCCCTGTTTCTATGTGTTCTCTGTTCCTATGCTGAACTTTTTCTGTTTCTATGTGTTTGTACATATTGTTGCTAAAGGCCCTCCCTTGTTTTCCCATGCCTCCCACTTTTGAGTCCAGAAACATTTTATTTCTGCTTGGTTGTTCCTGTGGTTAGGCTGGCTCAAACCGCCATGTCTGCCCCTGCCTATGTTCCACCTGCCTTTGTTTTCCACTAGACTCCTGCCCTGTCTGCCTGCATTTAAAGTTAACCTTTTCACTAGTATATCAGTGGTCTTGTGGTTTGGACCCCCTGACCTTTCCTCCCTAGAGATAACATCTAGACCTCAGTTGTATTTTAGCTCCAGGCCCAAAAAAGCAGCAAAACCAGAGGAGCAAAGCCATGGCTGACTTCAGGACCAGCTCCATTGAAAAATGGCCCCCTGCCCTGGCACCAACCAACCAATCAGTGGGGACAGGACCCTGAAAGGACAGTCCAGGAAAGCTGCTGAAGAGTCTATTGAGATCTTCCCCTGGGACCTCCCCTAATCTCCTTAAAACACTGAGAACAGAGGACCCAGAGGGCTCTCCCTCCCAGGAGCAAGCCTTTGCTTCCCCCTGCCCCCTGCATCACCTTTACCTTCCTCACTTCTAAGCTCCAAGGGCCCTTCCCTTACCTCTGTATCTTGTTTTCTAAGCCTATCTTGTACGAATTACTTCTTCCACCTCCATGATTTTATAAATGTTCTCTTATAGTTTAAGTCTTTAATATCAGTTTTGCTATGTTGATGAAAGGAGTCCCATGCTAACCTGACAAGCTCAAGGAAGGCCTGCATGGTATTTATAATCGCAGATGACCCAATGAGACCTAAAGTAATTACAAAGGATGGTCTGAAATTAAACTTTAACTAAAAGCAGTTATGGCGGGTAGTTGTCTTAGGCCGGTATCTTCACTGACAAGGTCAACCTTTACCTTAACTGAGCCTATCTGTCTTTTTGCATCTATAATAACATACCCTTGAAATGTCTGGGTAACTTCAAACTTCCCTTTTTTCCAGACACCTCAGGCCACAACCAAATGCCCTGGGAGCCAGGAAAGGAGACCATAAATTTCTTCATTGTTACTGTTATGTTAATTTTGACTGTTAACTAGCTCATTCTAGAGTTTTCCCTGCTTTGCTTTCTGCAGCCTCTCTGAACACCAATGGGTTTCATGTAACCCACCTATGCCACCCACTTTGTAATGCATAAAAAAAGACGAAACACAGCCATTCTCTGGAGCATTATCCCAATACTTGAGATTTGCTCCCTGGAAGTTGTTGACAGTTTGGCTCAAATAAACTCACAAAAACTATTTACAGGTCTGAATGTTTTTACGTTAATAGCTACGTATTAGAAAAGATAAAATGAAGGAAACTCAGTTTGCAGGTGGGGTTAAAAATTCTATCTGGAACAGATGAGCCAGTTCAATGTTTATACCACAGACTGGATGAACTGGCTGGGGCCTAAGCGGTGCTGATTAAAGCAGGATGGGTCAGAAGCACACGGCTTTCTCCACGCGGCATTTCTGCCACGTGTTGGCTCTGGCACAACACTGAGTCCATCTCTAGGGAAGCAATCAGGATGCACAGAAAGAGATGGGGACCACCCCGTGGCCGCAAACTCCTCCCCCCCCCCCCCCCAGCTTCATCCATTAAAATGACACAATTCGATTAGGTTAAAAAAAAAAAAAAAGAATGAAAAGGCACACGGTCAAGACTGAGTTTAGAAAGGCCCCGCCTCTGCCTCTGCAGTTCCGGTCCAGCCTCCGAGCAGGTCCACGCCGGCAGCGGGAAAGTTTCCTGCGCGCGCAGTAGGCCTGCCCAGTGCCGCGTGGGAAAGGCGGGACTTCCGTATCCTACACGTCATCTCCCCTGCGACGCGAACGTCACTGACTTGACCGGGAAGGTCAACCGTGGCCGAGGGCGGGCGCGCGCCCACCGCACGCTCCGGGGTCGCCGGCGCATGCGCGCGGGGTCGCCGGAACTGTACCTGCCGCTCGTCGGTGAAGCCCGCCTTTCGGGCTCAGCCCTGGCACCCATGCTGGGCCGGCTGGGCGGGAGGTGGCTGCGGCCGCCGCCTGTCCTGCAGCCCGGGGCCCCGGGCCCGCACTTTGCTCCGGCCGCAACCGGCGGTGCCAGGCGCGCGGCTCTGCCAGCGTGGGCGGTGGCCTCCGTGTCTGCAGTTGACCCGGGCGGCGCGGGCGGCTGGTACGAGGCGCTGGCCGCTTCGGCGCCGGTGCAAGGCGCGGAGGAGATGCTGCTCGCGGCGCACGGCGTCACGGGCCTGCCCTGGTGGGGCAGCATCCTCTTCACCACCGTGGCCCTGCGCGGCGCCGTCACGCTGCCCCTGGCGGCCTACCAGCACTACATCCTGGCCAAGGTGAGGGCCGCCGCGCCCGCAGGCGGTCGGCTTAGTGTTCCTCGTCGTGACCGCGTCGTTGCTAAGAAGGGTAACGCGCCCTGGACGTGGGAAGTAAGAGATGTTGAGTAGCACGTGCACCAGCCATCTCGTTTACCCTCTGGGTTTGTGCTCAAAGCAGGAGCGGTCCCTAAACTTGTTAGAGGAAAGGAATCAGGAGCAGGAAAACTGTCTGGTGCGACCTGTGAAATGCCCTCTTTAGAGGCTGCAACCCCCTGCTGGTTGCAGCATCTTTAGTTCCCGGGCTGGGCTTTCCGACTGGTCGTGTTGGGGAAGAACTGCCGAGCTAGTGGTTTGCAAACTTGACCCCTGATTCAGGCCAGTCCACCCACAGGCCCGTGTCCTGCGAGTCTCAGCCGCTCGCCCTTCGGTGCCTCCTTATCTTTTGTGTGAGATTAGGATAGGGAGACCTTCCTGCCCTGCTTCCCGAGATTATGAGGTCAAGTCACATATTATGAGTTTAAGTGCAACGAAAGCAAAATAGTATTCAAAATGGAAGACTTCAAAAAAAAAAAATGGCTTCAAAGATTATTATCATTGGGGGGAAAAGCCTGGAAACGAAACGGAAAGAGATTCGTCAGCAGGATCAACGCAGTGAGTTACTTTACAGAATCAACACAGGGCAGATAATGCAAAGTTTGGGGGGCTGTCACAGAAAATATTAGAGATTTAATTAATACCCTTCTGTTTCCTTAGTTGACGGTACTGGGAAAGCCAGGGATGCCACATAAAATTGCAGGCGCAGTTCTCATTTAATCCTTAGAATAACCCTGTGAAGTAGGTACTGTTGCACATTTTATTTATGAGGGAACCAGAACTTAGAGGTTAAGTAACTTGCCCAACAGCACACAGCTAAGTGTATAATCTGGCATTTCGATTTGGTTGTAACAGGATATCTTAAGCAATTTAACGTCTTATGCTTAGACTTAAGGTTTTTTGACATGCTTCAGTAGATAATTTTTTTTTAAAATCCTCACCCGAGGATATATTTTTCCCATTGATTTCAGAGACAGTGGGAGGGAGGGACGGGAGGGCGAGAGAGAGAGAGAGAGAGAGAGAGAGAGAGAGAGAGAGAGAGAGAGAGAGAGAGAGAGAGAGAGAGAAAGAGAGAGAAACATCAGTGTGAGAGAGAAACATCCATTGGTTGCCTCCCACATGCAGCCTGGCCTGATGGGCTGGGGATGGAACTGGCAACCCAGTACACGCCCTGATGGAATCAGCTCAGAACCTCCCAGTGGGAATGGGACGGCACTGTAACCCACTGAGCCACTCTGGCTGGGCAGGAAACCAAAACTTTAAATGAGTTGAGGGAATAGAAAATAAAACTATGAGTGGTTATAAATATCCTTTATGTGCTCATAACAAATTTTTCTTTAGCTAGGTGGAAAATTTGCAACCAGAAATACAAAATATTGCACAACACCTTAACCATGAAGTTGCAGTTCGTGCAAAACAGTTGGGGTGGTCCAAAAGAGTTGCCAGGTAAGATCATTCTGTGCCTATAAGACCATAAAAATATATGTATATTATGTGAAAGTGATTATGTTAATTATAGGTTTGAGTATTCTGTAGCTTTAGCAGCAAAGTAGTTTTTTTTCTTTAGGATTTTAATAAGTTTATGTGGCATGATAGTTTTATTTGTTATTTATTGATTTGGGAGAGAGAGAAAGTTCCCCTTATTTATGTATTCATTGGTTGGTTCTTGTATAGGCCCTGACTGGGGATCAAACCTGCAACCTTGGTGTATTGGGATGATGCTCTAAACAACTGAGTTACCCGGCCAGGATTGGCATAATTTAGGGTGTCCCAAAAAAATGTATACACACGCTTTGAATAATTATAAAGGCAGTGTTTATAAACATACATTTCATTTTCAAAATTGAGCTATGAGCTGTTAAACTGTGTATACATTTTTTGGGGACACCTTGTTTTATATGCTGGACTGAAAGCAAAGAAATGGAGAAACAAAGATAAGAAGGGCAAGTTTCTTATTCTTTCTTTTTTAAAAAAATGTATTTTTATTTCAGAGAGGAAAGGAGAGGGAGAGATAGAAACATCAATGAGAGAGAAACATTGATGGGCTGCCTCCTGCATGCCCCACTGGGGACTGAGCCTACAACCTGGGCATGTATCCTGACTGGGAATCGAACTGTGACCTTCTGGCTCATAGGTCGATGCTCAACCACTAAGCCACTGGGGCCAGGCAAGTTTCTTATACTTAAAGAGACCCCATCCTACTGAAAAGACCTGCAATCAAATAATGACTGAATTAAGTACTATAAAAAAGGTTTTGTGCAAGGAGTTGGGTCATTATGGAATGTCAGGGAAGGCTTCACAGGATAAAGATACTGTGCCAGTCTGTTGGTGCTTTAGTCAGCAAATCATACAGGTTATTTTCCAAACTTCACCTTTTTGAAAAGATACAGTAAGCAGTAGCCCTCAGGAATGAGGAAGTAGAAAATGTGAATATTATAATAGAAGCAACTGGATAGCTAGGGTGCTGTCCATCCACTGTAATTACCGTGTGTAGTAATCTTTCTGGGGTCCTAGAAACCCTTGCCCAAGGGTGCATGACCATAGTTGTCTGCTGGGAACTTCTAACTCATCATGCTTCAGTCAACCTAAGCTACTACTTAGTTTCCCAAATTCTTATCCTTACTATACTGTGACATAGTGTTCACCATTTCACAGAAATGAGAAATACATATATATGTATACACATATATATGGTTATCCATACATTTAGCTCTATAGGTATACATTTGCCAACTATTTTCATTATGAAAGTGCTTCTCTCTATTTAGTGTTAAGAAGACTTGACAAACCTGTAGTTTTGAAGTTTTACTGATCAGAGAAATCTCAGAACTACAGCTCTATGCCAAAAGAACAGATTTACAACTGCTCACCTGGGTTGTAAATACATCCTAGATAAGTTGGTGGCACCCTGGTGATGCAGCACTGGTATGATTGTTCAGCCACATCGTTTTGGAGATGGGCGGCTTTCTAGAAAGACACTCTGAAGGTTTCCTACATTTTCATTGGGACAGTCTTGGAAGGTGAAAGGGAGTTTGCCAGGTGGACAGCCAAGAGAGTGGATTGTCCACACAGATGGTAAAATAATTTCCAAAGGTATGCTGATGCGGAAGTCTGATTTGTTGAATGACCTAAGTCATTTCAGGCATCAGAAAATACAGGTGTCTATAAAGGAGTAACAGAATTACAAAGACCCTGGAATGTCTGTGTATGCTGTCTTAATTCAAGTAAATGTAGCAAACCTATTGAATGCCATACCTTTTACAAAATATATGGCAAGAGATTCAGAGATGAATAAGACCCAGCACTTGACCTTCAAGGAGACTGTAGTCAAGAAAGTGAGACTTAACAACAGGAATAACTAATATGCTTAACAGAGAAACGAAGAAAATATTCATGAAAAGGAATTGAAGAACGGAGACTGTTTTGACAGGCTAAGAGCACACACAGTACAAAACCACATTGGTACAAACAAATATATTCAGGGACCAAGTAATTAAGCTTGGCTGGAATGGAAGGTTTGAATAAAATGTACTTTTACTTTTCATATTTCCTATAGAAAGTACAATAATACCAGTTTAGTAGTGAGGTTTCCCTTAAAGCCTAACTAGCCAAAGAAGACCATAGACAAAGCTTACAGTCTGCCAATGTTAGATTTATTGAATTGTTATGTAATTTGTATACATTGCTAGAGAATTTTCAGTAAAAGGCTTTATTTACCTTTTATTTAGGCAGCTCCTTAATATAGCTTGTGATAATTAAAAATCCTACACAAATTCTTCAGCCAATACCCACAACCTGGTCGTGTTTATGCTATGGTTATGAAGCACTATTGGTGATCAAATGACATTTTCTCCCTTTTCTTTTCCCCTCTTCCCTCAAAATAGGTTCACTTATCTAAAGAATATGCAGAGGCTTGTTTCAGAGCTGTACATTCGGGATAATTGCCACCCTTTCAAAGCCACAGTGTTGGTCTGGATTCAGCTTCCAATGTGGATCTTTATGTCTGTCGCTCTGCGGAATTTTAGCACAGGAGCAACACATTCAGAAGGTAGTTATTATAGAAGTTTGTTTCCCCCCAAATAAGTTCCCTAACATTGTCTTTGTACTCTAAAGAAAAAAACAAAAAACCCCATACTTTTGTTTTTTCTTTTTTTTAAAATTTTGTTTTATTGCTTAAAGTATTACAAAGGGTATTACATATGACTCCTTCTTTTTCCCCCTTTGACATTCCCCTGGCATCCCCTACTCCCCAGTGTCTTGTGTCCATTGGTTATGCTTATATGCATGCATACAAGTCCTTCGGTTGATCTCTTACCCGCCCCCTTCCACCCCCCAACCCTCCCCAGCCTTCCCGCTGTAGTTTGACAGTCTGTTCGATGCTGCTCTGCCTCTGTATCTATTTTTGTTCATCAGTTTATAATGGTCTTTATTATCCATAAATGAGTGAGGTCATGTGGTATTTTTCTTTCATTGACTGGCTTATTTCACTTAGCATAATGCTCTCCAGTTGCATCCATGCTGTTGCAAATGGTAAGAATTCCTTCTTTTCTACAGCAGCATAGTATTCCATTGTGTAGATGTACCACAGTTTTCTAATCCATTCATCAGCTGATGGGCACTTAGGCTGTTTCCAGATCTTAGCTATGGTGAATTGTGCTGCTATGAACATATGGATGCATATATCCTTTCTGATTGGTGTTTCTGGTTTCTTAGGATATATTCCTAGAAGTGGGATCACTGGGTCAAATGGGAGTTCCATTTTTAACTTTTTGAGGAAACTCCATACTCTCTTCCATAGTGACTGCACCAGTCTGCATTCCCACCAGCAGTGCAGGAGTGTTCCTTTTTCTCCACATCCTCTCCAGCACTTGTCGTTTGTTGATTTGTTGATGATAGCCAGTCTGACAGGTGTGAGATGGTACCTCATTGTTGTTTTGATTTGCATTTCTTGGATGATTAGTGACTTGGAGCATGTTTTCATATGTCTCTTGGCTTTCTGAATGTCCTCTTTTGAAAAGTGTCTATCACCCCATACTTTTCATAAATAGAATACTTTAACCAGTCTTGCTTATAAAGGGTATAAATATACAATTTAAAATAATGAGTGTAAGCAAACTAGCTGTGTTGAGAAAATAAATCTAGAAAGGAAAGCAGTAATATTGCTTCTTAGAGATCATAATAAAATTAGTGTTATAATTTCAGAATTTGGTTTCCTAACCAGGAATTGTTTTTATTTATAAACTTAAGAGAACAGAAAAGCTTTCAGTGATAAATGTAAACATTAATTAAGAAACAATATGAACTAAAGCATTTGTTTTTTACTTTCATTTAAAGGCATTTCTAACCAGAAAGTAATCTGAATAGATTCTAAAGAAGCAGCTCTGGCTACATAATTATTTAAAGTTAAGCCTGAAACAATTATTGCTACTTCGTTGTTGTTGTTGTTGTTAATCCTCACCCAAGAATATTTTTCCATTGATTTTTAAAGAGAGTGGAAGGGAGGGAGGGAAGGAGGGAGGGGGGGAGAGAGAGAAACATCATGTGTGAGAGAGACATTAATTAGTTGCCTGGATTGGTTGCCTCTCCCCCCCCACACACACACCAATTGAACCTGCACCCCGGGTACATGCGCTTGACTGGGAATTGTGCCCTTGACTGGAAATTGAATTCTCAACCCTTCTGTGCATAAGCCTATGCTCTAACCACTTGACACACCGTCAGGGCACTGCTACATATTTTTATTTTTTTTCTCTCTAAGTCTGTTTGCTACAGAAAGCTGCTTGCCTCTTAATCCAGGAAGGACTGATTTGTGTTATGGAATGAAATGAGCCTGAATAAAACCAATGCAAATCTTTAGTGTGAGGGGCACCTGTTTGGAATTATCATCCTACATATGTCTTGTGTATTTCCTTGTGTATAAAATAAAAATTATTTTATTTTTAAATTTTCAGCAGGTTTTTCTGTCCAGGAGCAGTTAGCGACTGGTGGGGTCCTGTGGTTTCCTGACCTCACTGCACTGGATTCCACTTGGATTCTGCCTATCTGCATTGGTGCCATCAATTTAATAATAGTAGAGGTCAGTGGTTTTAAACAAGATTGTTTGCCATTTAAATTATTAGGATTTCTGTTGTTGCTGTTTTGACATCAGATATAAATGTGTTTGAGTCTTAATTCAGAGCTACTCACTGAAGGTGAGTAGGTAACGGGTGGTACCTACTTTGTTCAGGGATTATCAGTGTTGATTCCAATTGCGGTGACAGTACCTTCAGTGCGTAAACACCAGCATTAAGTGCTAAATCGTGTCTGATCTTAGCTTCATCTGGCTGGGGTTCTGCCTGTAGAGCTAGAATTAAGTGTGGTTTCTGGTTGCAGGTCAGCCATCGACAAACTGACTGTCTTGGGTCAGTTCCTTAATCTCTCTGGGGGACAGAATGCTCATCATTAAAGTAAGAAAGCTGAATTAGAATACTTCCAAAGTCTCTTTCAACTTTAAAATTATATGATTCTAATACATTCAGTTTTGTGATTCGCTTTTGGTTAAAGACGGTCATTAAGATGTCTAATCAATCTGGTTTTATTCCCACAATAGATTGGTATTTTGTGTATATGTTTAATATATAAATTTGTAGGCAGAGAATAAAGTCATTACCTGACTGCCATTTTTTAGTTATGCAATCTTAGAAAAATCATAGAATTTCTTTATAAGATGGAGTGGAAAAACACATACATATTCAATATGACGTCTTAGCCATGTCTTACCATTATCCCATGCTCCTTTATTCAACAGTTTATGGGAAGCATGCCTTTAATTTCATAAAGAGCTGTTCTCAAACTCTGAAAAGAACATAGACTCTTTGAACTAGAAGAAACCTTAGAAATTACCTACCTCAGTTGTGATCTCATAGACTTCATGTCCATTGGTCTCTGGGAAGTCTCATATACCTTTATTTTCTTAGACAAAAAAAATGAAGATGACACTGTAAGGTGTTGGGTGACAGTTTCTTGAGGAAAGACTCCAGTCTAAGTGTTTGGTCTAAGTGTATTTCCCTAGAAGGGAACCCAGCAGAGTCTTGTGAACGTGGTTGGACTTAGTGAATATTTGTTAGAAAGAAGAAAGTGATAAATACAAGGTCACCATGGATTAATATCCGTCCTTTAGTCTTTCCTTTATACCATCTACTAACCCAGTATGTATATGTTTAAGAAAAGCTCATTCTTACTTAACATACACCATATTTCAGGCACTATTTTAATAGCTTATATTAATTAGCTCATTTTTAAAAAAAATATTTTTTTATTGATTTCAGAGAGGAAGGGAGAGGGAGAGAGAGATAGAAATATCAGTGATGAGAGAGAATCATTGATTGGCTGCCTCCTGCATGCCCCCTACTGGGGATCAAGCCTACAACCCAGTCATGTGCCCTTGACTGGAATCCAGTGAGCCAAACCAGCTAGGGCTAATTAACTCATCTAATTCTTTTGACTAATTCCGTGATATAGGTACTATTACTATTATTACGTGCATTTTAAGGTGGAGAAAGTGAGGAACAGAAAGGTTAATAACTTGCACAAAGTCATATGACCACTAAATACAGGGCTGCCATGTGAACCTAGGAAGTTTGGGCTAGAGTCTGGGCTCATAATCATTACTGCTATGTTGCCTCTTAAATAAGTAATTCATAAACTATAACTGCTTTCCCTTGCCTTAGTTATTCCCTTTATCCATGTAGCCAGATCACAAATCTTTGAGATACCAAGTTCCTACTTAAGTACAGTTCCTGCCAGGCACTGTACTTAAGTACCAAAAAACAAGGGTAATGATTCATACATACTACCTATCCTTTTTTAAAAAAATGTTTTTATTGATTTGAGAGACTGAGACAGGAAGGGAGAGGGAGAGAGAGAAACATCGATGTGAGAGATTGGTTGGTTGCCTCTAGCATGCAACGCAAGAAGGGACTGAACCAGGAATCAAACCCCAGACCCTTTGGTGCACAGGATGATGCTCACCTAATTTAGCTACAATGGCCAGAGCCATAGTACCTATCTTGAAGGGACTTTCAGTCTTACAATCTTTAAAAAACATCTATAATAATAAAAGGATAACATGCTAATTAGACCGGATGTCTTCTGGACATCCTTCCTGACGAAGCCAGGCCGGAGGGAAGCCAGCCTGGATCCTGGGTGCCTGCTGGCGGCCAGGGGAGGGAAACCTGGGTCCCGGGTGCTGGAGGGAAGCCAGTGCTGGCAGCTGGGGGAAGGAAGGCCTACTCTTGCACAAATTTTCGTGCATCAGACCTCTAGTTGTCTTATAAAAATTATGCTGTGATTCTGTTTAATATAGTTGAATCTCTTCTTTATTGCTATTAATTAAAGCTACTTTTTAAGATTTCTGCATGATTATTAAGTTTTATAAAAGATGATCAACCAAATAAACTTATCAGTGTTTTCTTTTTTTTTTCATTGGTTAAAATGTAAGTGAAGGCCATTTTATGCATTTTCATAATCATGGTGTGTGTATATATTCTTCCCTTTTAGATTGTTGCTCTACAAAAAGTTGGAATGTCTCGTTTTCAGACGGGTGTTACCTACTTTGTTCGGGGAATATCAGTGTTGATGATTCCAATTGCTGCGACAGTACCTTCGGTGAGTAAACACCAGCATTGTGTGCTAAACCTTGTCTGACCTTAGCTTTATCTGGCTGGGTTCTGCCTCTTCTACTGAGAGCTTTCTCTGAAAACTCAGTCCCTTACTGGTTTCTGAGTTTTTCTGTAATAACTAATTTACTGTCTCTGTCACCAAGTGACACGTATTTCTTGGGATTTTTTGACCTCCCTGTATGTGAACGTCTTAACTCTCTTACTAACTCAAACCTTTTTTCTTTTTACAATTTTGCAAAGTACCTTGCACACTACTATGAACAAAGTATTTGCTCTGTTTGATTAGGTGATTTATTGAATTGTTTCTGTCTATATAGACTTAGGTAAGGAATTTAGCACTTAAAAAAGAAGCAAACTCTGTGCCAAGTCCATATGTGTTCGTATGTGATATTTAACCTCATACAACTCTTTATGAAATAGGTACACTTGCCCCTATTTATTTATAATTAAACTTTTTTAAAAAAATAATATTTTTATTGATTTCAGAGAGGAAGGGAGAGGCAGAGAGAGATAGAAACATCAATGATGAGAGAGAATCATTGATCGGCTGCCTCCTGCACGTCCCACAGTAGGGATTGAGCCCGCAACCCGGACCTGTGCCCTTGACGGGAATTGAACTCAGGACCCTTCAGTCCCAGTCCACAGGCCAATGCTCTATCCACTGAGCCAAACTAGTGAGGTCTGTAATTAAACTTTTATAGAAATAGAGAAATTGTTATGTTTGCAGTTATTTCATATTTTTGGTCTTTTGCTTATTACCCATGAATACTTAGTGCCAAGAAGGCAAAAGCTCTGTCGGGTATAGCTCTCTTTTTGTTCAGAGCCAACACATAGACCATAACGTAGAATCCATTTGTTGCTGATAGTTAGGGTTATATCAGCATATGTAAAGTTTTTCATGTTACTTATCTTAGGAATCTGGAACAGTATGTATTCAGCATCAAACATATATTACTGCCCTAACCAGTTTGGCTCAGTGGATAGAGCATCGGCCTGCAGACTGAAGGGTCCCAGGTTCAATTCCGGTCAAGGGCATGTACCCTGGTTGCAGGCACATCCCCAGTAGAGAGTGTGCAGGGGACAGCTGATCGATGTTTTTCTCTCATCGAAGTTTCTAACTCTCTATCCCTCTCCCTTCCTCTCCGTAAGAAAAAAATTAAAATCAGTAAAATATATTTCAGTGTGTGTGTGTGTGTGTGTGTGTGTGTATCTACACTAATAAAAGAGAAAAATGGTAAGTGGCGTACGGCGCTACCCTTTTCATTGGCTAATCAGGGCTATATGCAAATTAACTGCCAACAAAGATGGCGGCTAATTTGCATATGTAGGCACAATGCAGGGAGGCGAAAGGGAAAGCAGGAAGAAGCCCCCTGCCACTGACAGTGATCGGAAACCCAGGGGGGAGCTAAGAGGTGGGGGGCAGGGTAAAGGTGGTCCTGGGGCCGCCTTTGCCCTGCCCCCCAGCTATGATCGGAGAATCAGGCGCCTTTGCCGCCCTGGCCAGTGATAGCAGGAAGTAGGGGTGGAGCCAGCGATGGGAGCTGGGCACGGTCGAAGCTGGCAGTCCCGGGAGCTAGGGGTCCCTTGCCTGAGCCTAAAGCGGAGCCCACGATCGCGGGGCCGCTGCAGCTGCGGGTCGCCGCTGCCTGGCCGGACGCCTAGGCCAGAGGCGTTAGGCCTGGGCAGGGGCAGAGCCTGCAACCGCGGGGAGCTGGGGGTCCCCTGCCCAGGCCTAACGCCTCGGCCAGAGGCATTAGGCCTGGGCAGGGGCAGAGCGGGAGATCGCGGGGAGCTGGGAGTCCCCTGCCCAGGCCTAATGCCTTGGCCAGAGGCGTTAGGCCTGGGCAGGGGCGGAGCCTGCAACCACGGGGAGCTGGGGATCCCCTGCCCAGGCCTGACACCTCTGCCGGAGGCCTCAGGCCTGGTCAAGGGGCCGATCTGGTGATTGGTGATCGGAGGGTGATGAGGGTCAACTCCTCTGGCCGAGGCATCAGGCCTGGGTTTAGGGCGGAGCTGGGGATTGGAGGGATATGATGGTCCCCTTGCCCAGGCCTGAAGCCTGGGTCAGAGGCGTCAGGCTTGGGCGGGGGGTGGAGCAAGCGATCAGAGGGAGATGGGGGTCCCCTGCCCAGGCATGATTCCTGGGCCAGAGGCCTCAGGCCTGGGCGGGGGTCAGAGCCAGTGATCGGGGGGAGATGGGAGTCCCCTGTCCAAGCCTGACGCCTCCACCAGAGGGGCTGATCAGGCGATCGGAGGGTGATGGGGGTCTACGCCTCTGGCCAAGGCATCAGGCCTGGGCAAGGGGCAGAGCCAGCAATCGGAGGGGTCTGGGGGTCCCCTGCCCAGGCCTGATGCCTGGGCCAGAGGCATCAGGCCTGGGCTGGGGGCAGAACCAGTGATGGGGGGAAATGAGGGTCCCCTGCCCAGGCCTGACGCCTCTGTCAGAGGCGTCAGGCCTGGGCAAGGGGCCGATCCTGCGATTGGAGGGTGATGGGGGTCAACACCTGAGGGCTCCCAGAATGTGAGAGGGGGCAGGCTGGGCTGAGGGACACTCCCCCCCCGCAACACACACACACACACACACACAGTGCACGAATTTCATGCACCGGGCCCCTAGTATGTATATATATATATATAACTAAAGCTGTCCCTTAGACATAATATTGTCATTGCTCCTGTATAAAATAAGTAAGTTTCTACATGTCTTAAATAGACATCATTATGTCTGTGAGAATTAATGAAATAACACCAAGTACTTATAATAATTTTCATATAATAGTAGTATTGTTGTAAAATACCCTATAAAATAGAAAAATACAGGTTCATGACATTTCTGGGGAGAAATAATGCCAATTATAACTGAGGAAACCCCCCAGCTCAAATAAAATAAGGGCAGTGAAGTTTCAGTGAGGGTCTGGGTTCAAAGTGAGTAACACATCTAAAAAAGTGTCTTAAATACCCAAAAGTTTATTCTCTCAAATATAGGAAATTCAGTTAGGCAGCTTAGTGTATCTCTTACAAGACATGAGAGACCCAGCCTGCTTCTCTCTCTCTCTTTTTTTTAATATATATTTGTATTGATTTCAGAGAGGGGGAAAGAGAGAGAGAGAAACATTAATGATAAGAGAGAATCATCAATCGACTGCCTCTGTACACCCCTTACCGGGGATTTGAGCCCGCGACCCAGGCACGTGCTCCCAACCAGAATCAGACCTGGGACCCTTCAGTTACCAGGCCGACCCTCTATCCACTGAGTCAAACCAGTTAGGGCTGCTTCTCCTAATGCTCCACCATCCACAGTCTGTAATGTCTGTCCTCCAGGCCCCAATATGGCCGTGATGGCTGCTGGAGCTTGTCTCTGCAGGAGTGGTAACAGGGTGCTTCACGTACAGTCAGCGCTTGGAGGGAGCCTTGCCAGCTGTCCCACCAAACACTCCTGCTCACCTCTTAGTTACCTGGCCACACCTCACTGCGGAAGAGGCTGGGATGAAGTTTTTCTCCGCTATGGCAGTATACCCTTCTGGAAATTAGGACTCTATTACTAAGGAAGAGGAGTGATTTTTAATAGACAGTTTATAGTCTGTACAGTTGAGTTCAGGGTACTTTTTGCTTAGTGGATAAATCAGATGATGGTGATAGCACATGTTTAGTCAGCATTGACTTTGTGCCAGGAACTATTTGAAGTGGTTTGCATATATTAGCTCTTAATAATTCTCCCAACAATGCACTGAAGTAGCTGCTACTGTAATCTCCACTTTAGTGATGAGGACACTTAAGCTCAGAGAGGTTAAGTAATTCATCCAAGGTTACTCATCTGTTAAGTGGCAGAGTCTTACACATCCAGGTAGCTTGGCTCTTGCTCTTAACTACAGTGGTAATCTGCCTTTGATGATGTGTTACTTTCTGCTCCTCAAAACTTGCTTTTGGAACAAATGCAAGTGCTTAATATGGACCACACACTGCTTTACCATCTATGTGAGTTATCTCATTTATTCTTTACAGCAGCCTTCTGAGATAGGTACAGTCCTGTGCCCATTTTATAAATGAAACTGAAACAGAAGAAAAATAACTTACCCAAAGTCAAATAAATGGAATTCAAACTCAAGCAGTTTGACTCCAGGGCTTGGACTCAGCCACCACATAGTCATGCCTCTGGGTTCTGGTGACCTTCTGATGCCAAAGAAAAGTTTGTGTGGGATTGTTTTGAGAGGCTGTAGGACTTAGTTACTGACCTTACATACATCAGTCTGGATGGTAGTACAAAAGAAAAGTGACGATATGCTGAGCTATAAGTCTCAGAAAAAGCAAAGATAATGCATTCCTAACCATTCTTAGCAACTGGTTACTAGAAAAGTTGGTAGATAGATGACTATATGGAGGAAAGTGAAGTCTAGGGAGGCTAAGTTTGCCATCATAAATGGCTGTACCTCTAGGACCCTACCTCTGATTATGGCAGTTTGTCAGGACTCTTGGTGGGGAATAAGCCAAAGAAGGGCGGCGAGACCTCTCTTGGGCCCTGGGAGCTACTCTGTCATCCACTTTCTATCACGAATACCTCTCTTTTTTGCTTTTTGGTCTTCCTTTCATCCTTCTTTCTTACCTATTGGACCCTTCACAGATATCTAATCACCATTGCAGGTCTTGTTTAGTCCTAGTGTACTTCCATTTGCAGAGATTATAATTATCTTTGTCTCTGAAGCTTGGTGTCCGAGGAGAATGAGTGGTGCTAACATTCATGTCCTTTTTTTTTTATAGTCACTTGTTCTCTACTGGTTATGCTCCAGCTTCATGGGCCTTTCACAGAACTTGCTGCTGCGTTCTCCTAGGTTTCGCCAATTTTGCCGTATACCGTTGACCAAGGGAGATTCAGACACTCCTTATAAGGACCTCTTTGCTGCTTTCTACGCCAAGTACATTTCAAGGAAATGACATACTTTTCAGCGATTTTGAAACAGAAGTATTACTAACACTTTAATATACTTAGAAGATTTATTCAGATATGATTTAATTTGCCCTTATTTAAAATCTTGAACTCTGTGAAGTATTGTGTTAAAATATAATCCAGTTGTAATTGACAGTACTTAAAATCTTTTAAATGCTAGTATGTAGGTGGCATGTTTGTTTTGTACCCTAAGAATATAAAAGTGCCTGGTTCTGTTTATAGAATTACAACTTGCTAGAGGTGGTAGAAGTTTGGAGAACAGGACTAGATACTAAATGATGTCAAATTGTACTGAATAGTCCCACCCATGAAAATTATATAAAACAAGAGAATCCAATGAGGCATTTCTAAAGATTTTGGAGGTCTGAATGGTCATATTCCTGTTTGAGCATCTAATGAAACGATGTTTTCTCTTCAGAAAAATCCTCAGACTGACAACATGGGGGCCTTCAGACCCTGAAATGCCTCTGGTGACTCCCGGTTAAGAAATCTTATTTGAATGGAACTTACATTAGCAGTGAGTCATTTTGTGATTTTTTTAAAAAAATGGACTTGAGATACATGGTGGTAGAGGAGTCCATGCATGCAAGAAAGTACCTAATATGGTAGGTGGTGTGGCCTCTTAACCACATTCTGAAAGAAGACAGACAGTGTACATTCCTTTTCCTAAGATTTAAGAAGTCTGAAATACAAAGTATAGAACTAAGTACTACTAGAGCAAAGTGAAACAACTTAAGCTTAAGCTTGTTTAATCAAAGGAGAGTAAACCAGATGGGCTATTGATTTTGGAGCTGATTTTATAAACTTATTTATTTGGGAGGATTAAGTACTCTGATGAGTTTTAACAGTGGTAGAGGTTTGATATAGGAAAAATTGACAGGTAATATAAATTGTGGACCTAGTAGTCTGCTTGTTTAACTCAAAAAGATGATGAAATTAATTCTGGTTGAGATATTTAGGAATAAATTTGACAGGTATTTGAGAAGATTACAAATTTTCACTGAGTTGGAATATGAACCTGTTTCTGAGATGCCCTATCATTCCATCTTATGTTTTACAATAAAAACTAAAATGAGCCCTAACCGGTTTGGCTCAGTGGATAGAGCGTTGGCCTGCGGACTGAAGGGTCCCAGGTTCGATTCTGGTCAAGGGCATGTACCTTGGTTGTGGGCACATCCCCCAGTAGGGGGTGTGCAGGAGGCAGCTGATAGATGTTTCTCTCTCATCAGTGTTTCTAACTCTGTATCCCTCTCCCTTCCTCTCTGTAAAAAAAATCAATAAAATATATTTTTTAAAAAAAACTAAAATGAAGTTAAGTCATTTCTTGAGTGATGTTTATTATATCTTAGCCATTTTGGTTGCCATGTTATTGCAACTTACTGAGAATTTAGAGGAAGCAGTTGAGACTAGGTTCTCTTTTCATGACTTCCCAGCCCTGGTTTATGATTGAGACAACCCTACTTCCCAGTAAAGGAATTAAAACTTATGTATAGTCAACCCTCATTCGCAGATCTTGTATTTGCCTACACGCTAAAATTTATTTGTAAACCCCAAATCAGTACTCATAATACTTTTGATGACATTCTTGGACATACACAGAGGAGCAAAATATTTGAGTCCCCCGAGGCACATTTTCCCAGGAAGTCAAACAAGGCAATGCTGTGTCTTCATAGCTCAGCTTTCAAACTAAATAAGTGTCCTTTTTCTACTTAGTGCTATGTTGTTGTTTCCTCATTTTTGTGCTTTTTTTAAATTATTATTTCTCTATTTAAAATGGCCTCTAAGTGTCATGCTGAAGTGCAGCCTAGTGTTCTAATCACAAGAAGTCTGTGAAGCTTCTTAAGGAGAAAACTCCTGCATTAGATAAGCTTCATTCAGTCCAGAGTCTGTTGGCCATGAGTTTAAGGTAAATGACTCAACAACACATTGTATTAATGGTTGACAAATGTGACCAGAGGCTCACAGGAACCTCACTCTGTAGGAGTGGTTCAGTATTCATTAATTCAGTCTTTGTGCTGACTTACCAAAATAACTACCTCAAAAAACTGCAACATATACCAGTACAATCGAGGAAGCAGAGATAGAAATGTGTGTCCTCGATTACAGCAAAAAGAGGGGAGGTTTGGGGACAGTTTTGGTTCTCTCTGGAGTAAGTTGGCTCTTAGTGTATGTATCATTGTGTACTGATTCAGATATTTTTCTCGATGGGATGAGGGAAGTCAACCCCCTTCCATTGACTACTCAAAGTGTGTCATTTTCTTAAAAGTGAAAAATAAAGCCATGCTTGACTCTCCCTTTCAAATAGGTAAATCTCCTTTCGTGTGCACACTTTACCTTGTTTACTGTGATTCCCCTTGATGTCATGTACATTTGTATCTTTTTTCATATGTATATTTTACCTAGTTTCCTATTGCTCTCCCATTTTCAAACTTTTTGAATTGCTTTTCCAATGTATACAATAAGTTTATTTGAAAAAACAAGGCCCTTCTTTCCAGATCTTAGAATAACTGCTGATAGAGTTGGGAGTAACGGATCTTGGGATATACTCCTGTATAAAGAAAACCAGTGTGTTATGAACTGGAGTGAATCAGTCACCTGACTTCAGGCTGGTAAATATCCCCCCCATTTCTTTCTCCAGGTGGGTTTTATAGCAAACTAGAGGCCTGGTGCATGAAATTTGTGCATGGGTAGGGTCCCTAGGCCTGGCCAGTGATCAGGGCTGATCAGGGCCTTCTGGCTGCCAGCCAGGGTCTTCCTTTGTTCTGCGCCGCCCCCTGGTGGTCAGCACACACATCATAGCGAGTGATCGAGCTCCTGGCCAAACTCCCAAGGGGACACTTGGCATATTAGCCTTTTATATATATAGGTAACTCGTTTCAGAAAATTCTGAGTCTGTGGTATTTGATCTTATTTCCCCAACAGTTTATCACCATCTGGAGCAGTGGTCGCCAACCTTTCGGACCCCACAGACCACCAGTGGTCTGCGGACCACCGGTTGGCAACTGCTGATTTGGAGCACTTCCAGAGCCTGAAGTCAGGCAAGGTGGGTACTAAATGGGCACAGAGAACATACTGTTAAGGTCCCTTGACAACTCCCTGTTGGGTTCTTCTAACTCTGCTGCTGAGGGACTCCTGGAATAGTTCAGTCCTGAGCCCTGCAGAGTTCAGAAAACCTTTTGTCTTTTTAGGGGGGCCATAGTCTACTTGCTTGTACCTTCTCCCTTGCTGAAAAGGGAATTTTTTTCCCCCGTGGGTCTTATTTTTGTCTGTGGACAGGGTTCATTGTTTTATGGGTGTGTCTCAGCCCAAGAGTCAGGAAGGGAGACTCACTCCTGGATCAGTGTATATCATGCCATTGTGATACCTGAGCTCATAATTCTGTTAGATGGAACTGGTTTACCTGGAACTGACCCAAAATTAGTTTTCCTTGGAACCATTGTGTGAGAAGACCTGAACAGTCCTATCCTGACCAAATGTCATAGGTGGGAAGATGTGGCTTTACAGGTGACAGTCAAAATCCTTGATTGCCTCCTCACAGATAACCCAGGAGAGATTATAAAACTACATGAAGGACCTTGAAGAGAAAACCAAACAGGGAGAAGCACTCGAGAGCTTTAAAAGCACTCAAGAGCTGAAGTCCAAACTCACACATCTCAGAAGAGGTTCAGCCAGAACTCCTAGACCACACTGGGGAAATTGTAGTTTATGGGGGGAAAAATTAGTGCCCAAATAAACCTCAGTAGCTTCTCTATTTTGCACCGATACTTTAATCACCAATATGTCCCCATAGTTTCCTCCTCTGAGGATCCCAAGAATCACTTTAAAAAAAAAAAAAATCACCTTTTAAATTGCTTCAATATCAGATTAAGCCTCGAAAACAGCAGGAATGAAGACCCCAGAAGAATATTAAGAAATTTTTCTCCTCTAGGGTAATAAGTGAAGTTACAATGAACATGAGTGTGTGTGTGAGAGAGAGAGGTATGTATATACATGCTTGCTAATTTCTGTTCTGATTGGTCTGCAAGTTTCCTGTCTTAGTAACGTCCATACATTTTATTTTTATTATTATTATTATTTTTTTAATGTATTTTATTGATTTTTTACAGAGAGGAAGGGAGAGAGATAGAGAGTTAGAAACATCGATGGGAGAGAAACATCGATCAGCCGCCTCCTGCACATCTCCCACTGGGGATGTGCCCGCAGCCCAGGTACATGCCCCTGACCGGAATCGAACCCGGGACCCCTCAGTCTGCAGGCCGACGCTCTATCCACTGAGCCAAACCGGTTTTGGCTTTATTATTTTTTAAAATACATTTTTTTTATTGATTTCAGAGAGGAAGGGAGAGGGAGAGAGAGAGAAGCATCAGTGATGAGAGAATCATTGCTCTGCTGCCTCCTGTACACCCCCTACTGGGGATCAAGCCATAACCTGGGCATATGCCCTAGATTGGAATCGAACCTGGGACCCTTCAGTCTGCAGGCCGATACTCTGTCCACTGAACTAAACCAGCTAGGGCAACATCCATACATTTTAAAGCTCAAGTTGCACCCTTTTTTCCCCACCCAACTGGGTTGCCTTAGTAATTTCACCTAGCTGGGTTTCCTGGTTCTACTTCTTCCCCCTAACCTGTGGTCCAGTCCCTGACTGCCTGTCTTTTCTTCTGCCTTCTCAGTATGACAGTCTATCTACATTATAAAACTAGGGTCCGTAACATCCAAAATGACCGAACAGACAACTGAACACCAAGAAGTGCATGGAGCACCTCTAGGTCCCTCCTCTCCCAGGCTCCCATCGCTGGATGGCCAATGGGGAACCAAGGGGAACCAGGCTGGATGGGAGCAGAGTGGGACTGGGGACTGGTGAGCGGGCACAAGGCAGACCTCCCGGTCCCTCCCCACAGCCGGCAGGTTCCAATCGATCCTCAGTTTCTTCTGAAAGGAACGTGGCACCTCCACTGCGCAGCCTCCCAGACGCGCACCCATCAGGTGATGACGGGGAAGCCTGCGGGAGGTGGCCAAGTGCCCCCACTTCTGCTGAGGGGAGCATGCGTCTGTCCTGGGAGCTGTGGCTGATGGAGAGGGTGGCTATGGCTGTGTGGATGAGTTGCCAATGAGAGCCTCCCTGCAGCCGCAGTACTTGGTGTTCTCAACACAGCGGGAGCATAGGATCATGTACACAACGTCATGAAAGAAAAAGCATCCTATTCCCAACTTATTCACAGACTTCTATTTCTGGTTTCTATATTCCCAGTGTGTCCACAAGTACATTTGGGAAAAGAAAAAAGGTTTGTACGTGATATGACTGCATCTTTAGAAAACTCAAGTGATCACAAGCAGAGCACTTTTAACACCTAATGAGCCAAATACACTGATGAACAAAAATAGACCTAGAGACACAGACGCATGAACAGACTGTGGAACCTCAGAGGGAAGGTGGGGGAGGGTGGGTGGAAAGAGATCAACCAATGGCCTTATGTGCATATATGCATCACCCCTGGACACAGACAATGGGGTGGTGAGGGCCCGAGAAGGGGGGGGTAGTAGGCTGGAAAAGGTTAATGGGGGGAAAGGGGACCTATGTAAACTATTCAGCAATAAAGATTTAATAAAAGAGTAAAAAATAAAAGAAAATAAAAAAGGAAAAGAAAAGCCAAGAATAACTGCCCTGGCTGGGTGGCTCCATTAGCTGGAGCTTCATCCTGTACATTGAAAGGTTGCAGGTTTGAGCCTGGGTCGGGGTGTGTGTGGGAGGCCACTGAGCAAGTGGTGCCTGGAGGAGGGAGGCTCCTCAGACCTAAACACAGTCCAGGCCTCACCCATGATCCAAGGCTTGCCCTCTGCTGAGTGAGACCAGACCTTCCAGCTTCCTGTTGAGTCCCTGGTCTCTGAGTCATAGAGCCACTTCCCCCATGTTCCCCAGAATGCACTACTCAGTAACCATCCTATCTAATAAAAGAGAAACATGGTAATTGGCGTACAACCGCTACTCTTCCCATTGGCTAATCAGGGTGATATGCAAATTAACTGCCAGCCAAGATGGCGGCCGGCATCCAGGCAGCTTGAAACTAATATGAGGCTTGCTTGCTTCAGTGACGGAGGAAACCAACGTTCCCCGCCTGCTTTGCCGGCCTCTGAGCCTGCAGTTTAAGAAACATTGTTACAAATATAGAAGCTAAACAAAACCCCAGAAACCTGCTTTCAGCGAGCCTGGAGTTATACAGTGTTTCGATTATAGAACCGAAACAAACCAGATACCTTCTTTCAGCAGCAGAAGCCTCAGAGCTGGAGCCAGAGCTAAAGCTGGCCCAGAATTAAAAAAAAGAAAGAAAAAAAGGAGCAGTTGGGAGCTTAAGTCCGCCTGAAAATAGCCCTCAGCCCCTCACCCAGACTGGCCAGGCACCCCCGTGGGGACCCCCACCCTGATCCAGGACACCCTTCAGGGCAAACCAGCCAGCCCCACCCATGCACCAGGCCTCTATCCTATATAGTAAAAGGGTAATATGCCTCCCAGCACCGGGATCAGCGGAGCCGAGAGGCCTCCCGGCACCGGGATCAGCGTGACAGGGGGCAGCGCCCAAACCCCCTGATCGCTCTGCGGCTCTGTGTGTGACAGGGGGCGGGGCCACAACCTCCCTATCTGCCCTGCTCTGTTCGTGACAGGGGAAGGCGCCCCAACCCCCTGATCAGCCCTGCTCTGTGCCTGATGGGGGGAGCTCCCCAACCCCCTGATCACCCTGAGGCTCTGTGTGTGGCAGGGTGTGGCGCCTCAACCCCCTGATCAGCCCTGCTCTGTGTGTGATGGGGTAGAGCCATAACCTCCCCATTGGCCCTGCCCTGAGTGTGACAGTGGCGGCGCCCCAACCCCCTTATCGGCCCTGCTCTGTGGGTGATAGAGGGCGGTGCCCCAACCCCCTGATCTGCCCTGCCCTGAGTGTGACAGGGGGCGGTGCCCCAACTCCCCTATCGGCCCTACTCTGTGAGTGACAGGGGGGAGCTCCTCAACCCCCTGATCGGCCCTGCTCTGTGCATGACAGGGGGGAGTTCCCCAACCCCTTGATTGACCCTGCTCTGTGCGTGACAGGGGGCAGCGCCCCAACCCCCTGATTGGCCCTGCTCTGTGCATGACAGGGTACAGAGCCCCAACCCCCCTGATGGGCCCTGCTCTGTGCGTGACAGGGGGTGGCGCCGCAACCTCCCCATCGACCCTCAGAGCTGGAGCCAGAGCTAAAGCTGGCCCAGAATTTTAAAAAAGTGTGTGTGTGACACCCCTTGAGTGTGACAGGGGGCGGTGCCCCAACCCGCCAATCAGCCCTACCCTGAGCATGACTGAGGGTGGCATCGCAACCTTCCAATCTGCCCTGCTCTGTGCATGACAGGGGAAGGCACCCCAACTCCGCAATCAGCCCTGCCCTGAGCCCGACCAGGGGCTGCACCTAGGGATTGGGCCTGCCCTCTGCCACCCAGGAGCAGGCCTAAGCCATCAGGTTGTTATCTCCTGAGGGGTCCCAGACTGCAAGAGGGCACAGGCCGGGCTGAGGGACCCCCCTCCCCCCCGAGTGCACAAATTTTTGTGCACCGGGCCTCTAGTCTATACTAATAAAAGGGTAATATGCTAATTAGACCAGACGTCCTTTCAGACAAAGCCACGGTGGTGGGGGCTGAGGCAGAGGTGGATAGAGGCGACCAGGCCAGCAAGGGAGGGCAGTTAGGGGCAATCAGGACAGCAAGCAGAGGCAGTTGGGGGCAATCAGGCAGGCAGGGGAGCAGTTAAGGGCATCAGGCAGTCATGCAGAGTGGTTAGGGGTGATCAGGCAGGCAGTCAGGTGAGCAGTTAGGAGCCAGCAGTCCAGGATTGTGAGAGGGATGTCCTGGATTGGAGAGGGTGCAGGCCGGACTGAGGGACACCCCCCCCCCTTTGCATGAATTTCATGCACTGGGCCTCTAGTAAATATATATCCTATCTAATAAAAGAGTAATATGCAAATTGACTGTCACTCCAACACACAAGATGGCTGCCCCCATGGGGACACAAGATGGCCACCA